AAAGTTATGAGGTTGCAAGCTCGTCTCTGTAGGGCCATTATCACCTTTTGTATTTATTCAACATTACTTGCTTGTCACATTTCATACAGGCTAAAATATTCCTTGATTTGTGTCAGGGCCTATGATAAATACCGCTGCTTAGAAACAGTGTAAATTTTAATCAGTACAGGCTACTGTAGGGTGAGCAAGATTTATTTTTGTAATTTAAAGGTCATTATTGCAATGCGATGCAATGCTAAACGAAGTCCATGTGTACTCTTTGTCGGAAGGGAAGAAGATAAAAGTTGGCTATTTGATCATTATGAATAAGTCTAAATATATGCTTTGGAGGTTTTTGTTTGATTTTTCAAGATCTTTTTTTATTATCAATATTAACAAGTTGAATGTAAGCACTGAAAGCGGTGATTTTCGACTACTCATTTGTAGGGCATTTCAATTCTTACTCAAACAAAACTGATACATTTTCAATTGAGAAGTATATATTTCCAGCCAGGTCTTTTATTTCCTACTGTGCAAATCTTTTTTTTTTCTGCATTAAGTTGTGAAATTTTAATATGTTTGCACCAACAAGAAAGCAATTGCTTCACATGAAGATACCGGGAGAAGTGAGATTTAGGGGATTTGCTAAATTCTTGCCTCAGCCTGTGCTTAGTATTCTGTGATGTCATATTCCCCTCGGCTAAAAAGATTTTAACGCTATTAAAATAAAGTATGGATATACTTCTTTACTTTCCCACTAAGAGTAGCTGTGTGGCGGGGCTTTATAATTGCTGATAAAAAAAAAAAGTGTTTCTGTATCTGCAGGTCTGTACAATGAGGAGCATTGAAAATACCATACAAAAGTTTAAGGCAGAGATGATTACATGATAGCATTCCACTGGACTTTCAACAAGATCTTTGTTTAGGAAGACAAGGGGCATTCAATTGTACAGCTCTGCGGAATTTGTTGGCGCTTTATAAATGCCAGTAATAAATAAATAAATCAAAATCCAATGACCCCACCACTTGTGTCACCCAAGTCCTTCCCTCAGTCCATCCTCAAAAAAATGCCTTCCACTGCATTGAGGAAGGCATTTTCTAGAGAACATTCAGGCTGCAGGAAGAACAGTTTTATCTTTTATAGGGGGATCCTAAACCAGAAAATGTTGTTCTAACCAAAATGCTTAGTGACATCCATCTCAACAGGATGTATTATTTATTTTAGGATACTTTAAAGGAACACTCCATGCACCATAACCATTGCAGTTTGCTGTAGTGGTTATAATGCTTAAAGTGTTCTGACTTCCTGCCACAGTAACTATTTATAAACAGTTTTACAACTTACCTGGTGTCTGCTGGGCACTGGTCAACCTCAGCAGAAGAGACAGATGCTCTCTGCACTAAACTAGCCCTGCAGTACAGGGCTTAGTTCAAGGGAATGAATAAATCCAGAAGCTTCCAGCTCTTCAAGGGGCTGTGACTGACAGGACAACCCCAAGTTAGTTATCAAACTGATCTCAAATAGTTTGACTATATACCTAGGAAGGGTGCCATGACCACTATAACATGCAGTAGTGGTTATGGTACTTGAAGTGTTCCTTTAATGATCCTACAGTCAGACACACACTATGTCATTAGAATGATGCCCTATTTAATAGAGACATTTAAAACCAAACTTTTAAAAAAATATATATTTCATACAGATACCGACAAGTAGCATTTGACAATAGATGATTACAAGCAGTGAGGTATCAATTTTCATCATTTACAAAAACATAAAAAAGGAAAATAAAACAAAACTGAGATTCTTAATAAAGTGTCATACCACAGCTCCTGGTTGTCCGTACAGAAACTGGCATCTCCAACTGGGTCTAGACCATCTCTAACCCACCTCCCCCAATCCCTTGAATCTAGCAGTGTGTATAAACAGAGTGGTGCACATATAGCAAGAACGGACGATGGCCGCCCCTTTGGAAGAGGAATTCCCTACCTCCTCCCACCCGCTCAGGGTAAACATGTAGACAACACAGCATGCACTGAATATTGTGTCTTCTGGCCTCCTCCCCACAACTGCACTTAATGCTCATCCAATCAGGGCTGCATCACTTTATTACACAATAGTAAGCGTGCAGATTAATAAAATACATACAGAATAATCAGAAAAAAAACAATAAGAACTGTGACCCCGTTGACATGTATATGGATGGGAGTTGTTCAAGGCCCGTGTTCATCAAGAGCCAGCCCAAGCCTACATGGATAACGAGGACGACGATTGCCCTAAGTTTGTGGGGCTGTGCACACTTGTCTCATAACCTGCCCTCTGTTCTTCCAACTCCAGACCTTATCAAAGGACTCTATCCATGAGATATCCACCCTACCCCCTGGAATAAATTCAATCAAAACAGCAAACAAGGCCCCCAAAGCAAAACATCAAGAGGCATAAAAGGTTACAACAGAATATAGGGAAACCAGTGAGGACTACAATCTTACAAACATATTGTGTTGAGTTTGTTTTTGTGTTTTTCGTGGTATTATTAGTTTTGTTTTGTTTTTTGTCTGTTTCAGCATTCATAAGAGTGTAGCGACTAGTGGTACAGATGCTGTCTACCACTGTAGATACCTAATGGGGGAGTTGATTCACAACCCTAAAAGGGATTTAAGCCCTAGAAAATACTGATGGAAAACAAAGAATGTGGTGAAACACCAAAAAATTATAAAATATATCTTTTAATGAAGTCTGGAAAAAACTATCCAACAAATGGATACATAAATATAACAATTAAGTACTCTATAGTTGAAAGAAAATATCAATACAAAAAGAAAAAGATTGACAAATAAAAGGGGGGAAAGTACATCTAAGCAGTAAAATAACTTGTCCTCTGACAAGCAGAAAAATATATAACACAGACAGAGAAGATAAGACAGTGGGTGCAATCCCTGGCGCTATACCTTAGGGTAATAGTGTCGGGTGTAGTCACTAGTCTTAGGTACCGAAAAGAGACTCGCGGGGTCTCAAGGGGCTTAACCCCAATGTGTGAAATAGACAAAAAGCAGAAAAATAGATGCTACTAGTCTCAGTGCAAGCAAAGCCCCGAGGCTAGATGCATCTCATGGATATGAATATAGCAATGTAGAGTAGCAATATCAATATACTGGCTAATATGAAAAGATAATAAATAAGTGACAAAAGATTCTAAATATAAGTGAATCTATATGCAACTATGCATAAAAGATTTAAACCATGTAGAGGTGTTACATATATAGAGGGATACAATGTAAAGTACTGAAATGAAGCTTTATTGAAAAAATGGCATATATGAAAGAATCTATCCCAATATATGTCCCCTAACCATGGTATACCAAGAAAATATCTCTCAGCATCACTGAACCCTATAATGCTGAGCCACAGATCCTATATCTAAAAGCTAATAATACCAACTATAAAGATCCAAGATAAAGTATATAACTGATCTTATTGAGGATCCAGTGGGTTATTCAGTAGGTGGTCTGTGACATAGCAGTCTTACATAAATGGTTATCGATAGGGTTATAGTGCATAGAAGGCTATAAAGGAGAGATTCGGTCAGTCATAGAACAGAGTAAGAGTAGGCAGTTTAAGTATATGGGTCAGTTTAAAATAAACTGACAATGCAGATTTAGAAAGTCTCTCTCCCTGGTAATCTAACTAGACAGGCATAGAAGCAGCAGAATTAGATAGTGAGAATAAACATGTTGGAATAAAGAGTGCTTAAACCAACCAGTACCCAGTGCCCATAACCCAAAAAAAGGAAAAGAACGCCCGACACACGTTTCGGTGCTTTGTAGGATGCACCTTCGTCAGGGGCCAACAGCGAAATGATCCAGATCTCACTTAAATACATTTTAGCACCAGAAGTGCTGGGTACCTCATGAGCATAGTCAGTAACGTGTTCTGGTGTACAACCTCCTTTTTGTTTCTTAATTTTACATTTTTGGGTTTTTTTGTTTGTTTTATTTAGTTTTTTTTTGTGTGCTTTGATCTGTAAAATTCTTATATTATGTTCGAAGTCCTGAACAACTTTAACCAAGTGAACCTCCCTCTTCTATATTTGGAATGCCAAACAAACAAGTATGTCCCCTGTAGTGCTGGAACCATCAGGAAATCCAGAGACCGTGTGACAACCATACACCTAACTGGCAGGTAGAGTGTGGTAGGTGATCCTATTATTGTGGCAACCGGCCCTCAACAGAAAGATAGCTAAATAAGCAGGGAGATCATCCGCAGAGTGAAAGTCCCAATGTTGCCAAAAACAGTGAGGCCCTGCTGCATTATGGCAATAGGCCTTCGCTCCCCAGAACCACAATTTGGCTGTCTACCCCCTTCCAACAACCCGCCTGCCCAACCATTAGCAACTTATATGAAAAATAGAGGCCCGGCCATCCATGAACCTCGGGCCTCATCTCTCTGTGCATCACCCACACTCAAACACTCCTGTGGCAGGCGAGGAACCTTCAGCGATGTTATGTCTGGCAGGTGGAAGCCATCTGGCTGTGTGATATTTAGGGCCTGAACAAAAATCGCTGCAGAGGTATAGATGGCTGCATCATTATCGATTTGCCCATGTTGAAAGTCCGTATTTTATATGGGTAGCCCCACGTGAAGCATACCATATGCGTGCATAGTAGATCAGCCAGAGGACCCCATGCTTTCTGCTTCTGTAGCATTGCTTAACAGAGGTCTTAGAAATATTGGATAGTGCGGCCCTTGAAGGTCAGATAAGTCAACCTTGCTCTGAGTAGGTCAGGGCTCTGTGTATCATCTCCACTTCCCACACGCCATCGGGTAATTCTGGTGCCAAAGGCCACAGAAGACCAAGCACCATCTCCCGTAGGTCTCTCTTTTCAGCCATTTCCGGGATGCCCCGAAGGTACAGATTATAATCATGGGACCCATTGGATAAGCCCTCTATTGGTCCCTCCAGCTCAAACACCAAGGATTGTAGGTTGGTGGTACAGTCAGCTATTTGGTTGTGGGCCTTTACCACCCTCTCCGCTCGCTACTCCAGCTTGGCTGTCCTCTGGCCCACAGCATGAACCTCTGAAATTATCCAGGTAGGTTTTGGGTTCCCCCATTTGATGTAGAATGTGTGCAGTGTCCTGTGACAGTAGGATGGGGTCCCCATGATTCATCAAGGACGCAGGAAGTATAAGCATCGGAGCCATCTTTGGAAGTATAAGCATCGGAGCCATCTTTGCTGCCAGGCCACGGCCTAGTCACTGAAGCAAACAGGGTGGCTACAGAGGCATCCTATCCTTTTTATTTTCTTTTTTTTGCGGTTTTGGACTCCATTGCCAGGGGAAGCAATGGTATCTGTTGTGGGTCTGGATTGATGCTTAAATAGCTTGGATTAGTGCGGATTGGAGCGGAACGACTAATTCAACTGCAATTCAGCTCGACGCCCAAGCCCTGCCCCCAAAATTTAACTTTTTAAACACAAACTTTTTAACCAGTTATCATTACTGATTCATTAAACCTTTATGTTTGTTTATGTACATGAGATTCTATATCTCTTTCTTGGGTGTTCCTGTTAATTTGATACCAAACTGAGCTGTCACATCACACAACCATAGGAACAATCACTCACTAGGTGCGGTGATTTACTTAATTATGGTTTTACTATCCAATCATATTGACATTGATACTAACTTTTATATTGTAATTATTAAAGAAAAAAATATATATTAGAAAAAAAATAAAAAACATATATATATATATATATATATATATATATATATATATATATATATATATAATCTAGGCAAAAATAATGGGGGTCTAGTGACATTATGTGATCATACATTGCATAAGCCTGCCACAACATCAATGTACCCCATCTTTGACATATCCTACTCTAACAGCCTAATGCCTGCTCTTATGAGATTAATCCACTTACTTGGGGGGATGCACCCCTCCTTGTCACAGGTGCCTTATCCCAGGGCCCTATTTAGCCTTGTACTGAAGAGAGCCACGGATGGGCTTGGTGTCAGATGCATTGATCCTTTTAGATAAGAATCCTCTCCTTCCTAAGCCAGTGATGATTTGGCAGTTATTGATGGCATCTAAGTCATTAAATGTGTTCTTCCTTTAAAGAGACACTAAAATCACCCAGATCATTTCATCTTAATGAAATGGTCTGGATGCAGTGGTCCTGTATTTTAGTTTAGTAGAAACTGCACTGTTTACATTGCAGGGCTAAATAAACCTCTAGTAGCTGTCTTCCTGGCAGCTACTAGAGGTGCTAGAATCAAATGCTACTCGTAATATTTGGCCACACATGCTAAGCTCCAATCCAATGCTTCTCTATGATATCTCAACTTGAAAACCAGATGGGTAACGATTCTTTAACTTTTTTAATGCCAAAGGAGGAGAGGCAACGAACTATAGTTTCAGGCTAATGGGCTCCCTTTAATGTTATTTGATTCACATATTGCATGCACTGTTATACCAGACAGAGACAGAACTTAATAAAGCAATTTAAAGAACAAAAATGATCACATTATATAATAATATTATTAAAACATATTACACCAAAAAGTCAAAATGAAAAGGGAGAGATTAACAGAAAAGCCTACCTGTTCTAACAGAGTAACTGTATTTTATGTCCCAACTAGACATGTGTAAGTCGTTTCGTTCCGAATGTCAATTCGGACGAATTTTGGGCAATTTGGACATTCGGATACTTCCGAATGTCCAAATAGCTGAATGCCGAATTGCCGATGTTCCCAATTGCCGAAGTTTCGAAATTGCCGAAGTTCTGAAGTGCCGAAGTTCCGAAGTGTCAAAGTTCAGCAGCACAGAATTTCCGAAGTACCCAGTGGGAGAATGAAGAAACAATTGTCTCCCCCCTCCCCCATCTGCTGCTCAGGGGTCAGGGCTGGGGGGGGGGGGGGCAATAGGTCCCCCTTCAGTTTAAAAGACCCCACTCGCGTTAGTGCTTTGTGGTTTTATTGTTGTAATGAGATTGTGTTTAACATTAACATTTTGAAGATGGAGGCAACTTCTGACCAAAACAAAACTGAAAGGAAACCTAGAACTTGAGCTTTATGTCTATTCAATCATAATTTACCTTTTTCATATTAAGTGCACCTACACTTATTATATATCATTTTGTTCAGGAGAAATGAGGCTCTCGTTATCACATCAAATATGTATATATAGAACACAATTTAATATCAATAAAATCTAAATTGTCATTATACTGTTAGTTTTTACTGCCATAAAACACACATATTTGTATGCTGTGATGTCCCACAAGTACAACAATTTCCCCCCTCCCCTCCCCCCCCTACATCAAGTGCATAAAAGGTAACATGTACGTAATACATTTAAGATAATTATCATGCAGTAGTTATAGTTGCACAAGTGCTAAGCACACCTTTTTTTTATTTAGAAAGTAACCGCTATATCACCTCACGCTGAGCACATTTATGCAATGCCACGTCTTAAGAGGGTGCTAGTAGTCAGCTTGATGAGCCCTGCTTAAGGATGTATGGGCTGTAAACTTACTTGGGCACGTGTTTGGGAATATGGCTAGTGGCCGCTTAACGTGCAATGCGGGTCCCCGAGTAAACGTTGGGATTCTTGGCTTATTGCCATAGCCCTAGTGAGAAAGCTACAGGCAGAGAATTGGGTCCCAGCGCATTCTATGTGATGGGGGGGGGGAGGAAGGGAAGTAGAGGGGAGGGAAGGAGGGGGAAGGGAAGAGGGGAGGGAGGGAAGGGGGACGACGACTTCTTGAGCAGTATCATAGGCTAATTGCTTACGGAGCCAGATTCTAAACTATGTATAAACTGAAATTCTTAAAGTAAACTAGAACTGAAGAGGTGCGTGTAATACTGGCATATAAACCAGGTACTTAGGCATGAACGGAAAGTCCAACACTGAGTCCTGTAATGAGGATCTTATTGGGCAAGGTATAGTTGAACAGGCAAGTTGGTTGCTAGTCTCAAGTCAGGGAGCCTGTCGCCCTCGGTGCTGTTACTCTGGGCGCGAAAGGAGTGATATCTTCCATGTTTCACGTTGGACGGGTGCCCATTGGTGCTACCAGCATCGAAAGTCCCAATGACTGGAGGAAGCTAGTCGCTTCAGATATGTGCGTCAAGTAGGTTGTCTTGCCGGCATATTCCGTTACCAGTCGATGAGGGCCCCATTTATAAGGGATGGAGTTCTCCCGAAGCTGCAGGGTGACGAGGCGGAGGGATCTGCGCCACGTGAGAGTATGTCTTGATAAGTCTCTGTACAATGTTAGAGTAGCTCCCTCAAAGGCAACTGTAGGTGAGCCTTTTGCAGCTCCCATCAGGGCCCCCTGGTCTGAGTCCCGAATAAATTTAATTAGCACGTCCCGTTGTGCTTCCTGGGGCACCTTGGGGAGACGAAAGCAGGAGTCAATCCCTACCTGCTTAGCCTGCTTTGGGATCAAAACCGTGGCTATGAGCCTCCTGCAATAATGCGGTAGTTCCATGTTAACGACCGATTCGGGCACACCCCTGATTCGTAGGTGTCTGGCTTTTGCCTTGTCCTCCAAAGGGAGGAGAGGAGGAGGATCGGAAAGTAAAAAAGTAAGGTGAAGATTACTAAAGGGACACTCTAAACACAGGGGTGTATTTGAGCAGTGTGCAGAGTGCGTCTGTGTAAAGGGCTTTTGTGCATTTATGAAAGTAGACATTTGTGCACTGTGTTTCCAGTCCCCATTTGCCTGCCTTTATTCCTTCCCATCAATCGCTTCCTTACATGAGCCACTCTGTCAATAATTCTCCCTTTCCTGCTTGTTCAATCCCTTCTCATTTTCCCCTTTCCTTAATTGTTTCCAATGTTTCTCCTCATACCCCCTTGTTCCTTTCTTCTTATACCCCTTTCTTCACTTTATTCATCCCTTCTCATCCCCCCTCCCCTCACTTGTTCCCCTATTCTTTCTGTTTATTCCCCTACTTGTGTCTTTGCAACTCTCTTCTCTTAACCCCCTTCCAAACATACACCATGCTGCTTGCAAACAGTGCTGAGGTTGCAGAGTAATGGCAGGCTGACGGAAGTATAGGAGGTTGTGACAGACCACCTGGTCACCAAGGACTGGTACATGTCTCCCAACCGTTAGGTCCCTCTAATAAGAACTATAGTTACCACATTTTACTCAGTCAACGCATGCCTCCCAGCCCAGCGTTAGTTCCAGCGGTTCAGGAATCATCACAGACTGGCATGAGACATATAGAGGCATGGCACATCTGACCTTGGCAACCAACAAACCTTCTGGAACTCCTAAAAGTATCGCTGAGTTTCCACTATCTGGTAAAACTTTGTCGAGGGCACTTTCAGTCCCAGAGTCACCACACAGGGTGCTATTTGGAGGTGTGATAAAGAGGGTGATGAGGCATTGAATGATACCAAGGACTTGAGAGAGCTCCATGTACCTACAGAAAGAACCCTCATTTTAGGTGACCAGGATTTCTTACCCAGCGCTGTGGAACTCTGCACCGGATCACAGGATTATCACAGTCCAGTGAAAACTTCACGTCCAGCTAACTTGGGCTTGACACCTCCGATTCTAGTGCTTTTTGGACAGAATGGGTGCTCAGAAGAGTTATTTCCGAGGACAGCATTGCTTTGGGGAGGTGGGCAAGGGAACCCTTTTATGTTAAATTGTTAACTGCCGACGATGTCTGGCTGCTAATTAGCTTATCTTGTCAGATACACATAACATATTGTATGTTACAATATGCATTGTTCTCCTAGGGACCTTCTGCTGAGGAACCAGGTATAAATGTGTGTCATTTTCCAATGAAATCAGTTCTTCACCCTTCACTAAGACTCATCTAGTGTTTCAGTGGAACAGCGATATCTACTATATCGCTCAAGCTAAAATCACAAAGGGGAAATGGGACTTTGGCGGAAAAATCCCAGTTACTGGCGGATAGGATGTGTGGCGGGACTGCTGTCTGTCCGTAAATTGCCTGTCTGATATTATGTGTGTTTCCCCATCTTTCATATGATATTATGTGTGTTTCGCCATCTTTTCGTGTCTTCTGCCCGCTCCCCATTCGGGAATGCCTCCACAAAGGGAATTCACACCGATACCCCATTTAGAATGTTGGCTTCACACCTTGCAACATGTTGGCAAACTGCAAACCACAAGGGAAGCAATTAATAAGCACTCCTCCAGCTGGCTGCCATTCATAAAGACAAATGCCAGCTAGGG